ATTAAGCAGCAGGGAAAGAGATGCAATGCACAATGGGAATTCCCTCACCACCACTGTGTCTCCATGAGTACCTCATTGGCAGCACGGGCCGGGCTTAGCATGTACACAAGGCTTTTTCCACGGTGCAACCGAGCAAAAGCAAGTGGTGGTGACATAACTTTGCACAGGTTCAGCACTAAAATACCAAGTCCACATAATTACAAAAAGAACCAGTCACTTTAAATTTAAAAAAAATCTTCCATATTAAGCTCAGCACAAACCTAAAGAATGCTGCGTGCCCATAAAAAGTAAATATCATGTTTGGAAAAGTCTTAAATTAGAACGTAATTTATTCTGGCGGCTCTCCGCCATGAGCTGGTGTTGTAACCAGCTGTTCACAATTAAAGTGTTACTAGCAGAGGAACATGTGGAAGAGAAGTCTTATCACTGCTTGGTGTGACTCGCACGTTATCGAGTCAGAGACTGGCACATAAGAGGAAGTTCGTGGGTCACACTTTCTTGACTAGCGACACCCGGCAGAGGTGGGTGATGTTTTTGTTACAAGAAGCTGCCAAGTGAGTCTAGGAAAATGATAGTGTGAATCAAGCAGTAGGCATACTAGAGATTCAGCTACGGGCCTATTCATTTACCAGTAATGACTTCACTGCCCTTCTGAAAAGCGATCAACGGTAAATCGCTTTATAGAGGCCGTGGAGTGGTGGTTGGCAGGCATTCAGGAGGCAACACTGCTCCAACAGGGCAGCACAATGGCTTAGTGATTAGCACTACTGCCTTCAAATCCCAATCAGGACCCTAGCTGCAAGGAATTTGCATGTTCTCGCTGTGCTTGCATAGGCTTCCTCCCACACCCGAGACATGCTGGAAGGTAAATTGGCCCTGTATGTGTGTGCAATAAGGACCTTAAATTGTACACTCCTTGGGGGCAGGGACTGATGTGAATGTGCTGTATATAAATAGCTGTAATAATAATAAGGGAAATTTTGCATTGAAATATTGAGCAATCTTATTGACTTCAATGGGCACGTTTGGCCTGCCACGTGTGACATCAAAGTTATACGGTATTTGCCCCACAGTGAAGTATCGCAGGTGCAACAATGTACAGACCTCCAGTCACCATGTTGATTTGTAGGTAGGAGGCGGTAAAAACACAGATCGCCCACATGTCCCCTTTGCCTCCTGTCTGGCCTTAATCTGAAGGTGTAGGTAGGGGCATCCCCAGCCTTTTTTGCACCTGAGGCCAGGCGGGGTGGTGCACCTTCCAGCAGGGTGCGGTGGGTGGATCATCTCACCGTCTCTTGCCAGTGTCCCACCCAGCTCACTGACGTCACTGGTTGTCAGGAGCTGAGCGGGGTGACAGCCAGAGCACCCCGCTCAGCTCCTAGCAACCAGTGACACCATTGGTTGCTAGGAGCAGGCCAGAGTGCCCAGGTTGCTAACAGCTGGGCAGGGAGATGTGTATGGCCCTTACACATCTTTCCACCCAGCTCTTAGGAACCTGGGACGCTCTGGCTGGATAGGGGCAGCAAGCACAACACTGTGCAGCAGAGCCACCATGACGCTCTGCCTGCTGCCTCACCCCCCCTCCCCCCAACCGGAGCCCCAAAGAGATGCTGCCTGAGGCTACAGCCTCATTGTAGTGACAGCCCTGGGTCTAAGTAAAAAAAAAAAAAAAAAGCATTCATTACATCTCTGCAACACATGCACATTTCCCCATGTTGTCTTTTTAGAAAGAAAAAAAAATATATGTATAATGATCCCACCAGAAACCCAGTTGGCTCCTAACCTCCTGTAAAGAGTTGAAACCGCTGCACTGAAGCAGTGTTGTCAGCCCTGCTTAAGTTCTCCCCTCCTGGACTACAGAACTCTCCGTAACATAACAGGGTGGTGTTCAAGTGTACTCAAGTTTACAATGTTACATTGTATGATCATGGTATATAGTACTTACAGTGATTGTTTAATGCAGGCGATCCCAAAGAACAGATATAACAGGGGTAGCCAAACTTCAGCCTGCCAACTGTTGAAGAACTACAAGTGCCAAAAGCCACTGCAAGACTGCCAGGCACGACTCCCATAGGCAGATGCATGAGGGTATTTGTAGTCTCACCACAGCTGGAGGGTCAGAGATTGGTTACCCATGATATACTGTATAAAGTACATGTGTCTTTACTCAAACTTTCATCATCCGCTTACTTCCAGGCCAGTGACTGAAATGATCTGTTCTCAAAGGGTCTGCCTAATTGTCAAGCAACAAGCATTTTCAGACCTCGGCTTCCATAGTTCCGCCCGTACAGGTTGTCCTCCAGGATGTTTATATGCTGTAGAACCTCCACAAATGAGATTTTACAAAACAATCTGGGCTCAGCTGTCAACCTTATGGAGAGCTGTTTACATTCAAAAAGGAAGCAATGCAAGTCAGGATGACGCTTAATCATTTCCCATAAGGCAAAGTAGCCTTTCACTTACTCGCTGTCCTTTTCCTGAGCTATGTGCAACTGCTTTGAAGGAGTTAAAAGACATGTAGCCTGTTTCCGTGTAAGGAAATGACTGTCTGTGTTAAACATGAAATCCATCTGCCTCGTTACAGTTTGTCCATAGCATCAGAGCTACTTGCAGGTGGAACTAAGAAAGGAGAAAAAAGGCATCCATATGAGCAATGCATTGTTACTATTCCTTAGTGGCAAGTAGTACATTATAAAGCTCCATGTTCATGCATCTTGAGGGATTTACCTTAGACAGGGGTAGGCAACCTTGGCAGTGCAGCTGTGGTGAAACTACAAAACCCATGAGGCATTGCAAAACTCTGACAGCTATGAGCATGACAGAACTAAAAGGTGCCCATACACCTTACGATAATCATATGCAATCGACTTTTCGAACGACAATCGTACGTGTGAATAGAGTGCCCGAACCGACATTACTGTACAATCGTACGACTTTTGACGGTCAAGCATGTTTGAAAACTTTGCTCGATCGTACGATTGTCGTAAGGTTGCTGGCGTTTCCGTCCGTCAAAAGTCATACGATCTACACTGCGCGAACGAAAATACGACACATCAATTACCGCATTTCGTCCAGGTGCTTCTCGTTAATTACGGCTAAATTAATCTAGCGATTGGAGCAGGATGGGGCTGTCATGCAAAAATCGTACGACTATTCGATCGGACGAAAAGTTTTGTCCGATAATCGTAAGGTGTATGGGCACCTTAAGACCGTGGGGAATGAACATATTGGGTTTGACATGAACACACAAACACTATATGGCATATGTGACCCTCACACCTGTATGAGCTTGTTGGTCATCCCATTCCAAAACCATGGATATGGAGTAGGTCTGCCTTTGCAGCTGCAACAGACTCCACTCTTTTAGAAAGGCTTTCCAGGAAATTTTAAAGATGGTCTTAAAGAATTTCTATTTATTATGTCAACAGAGCCTATGTGAGGTCAGGTGCTGATGTGGGATGAGAAACCCGGCTCGTAATTGGCATTTCAGTCAATCCAAAAGGTGTTCAGTAGGGTTGAGGTCAAGGCTATGTGAAGGCCACCAAACCATGTCTATATGGAGCTGGCTTTGTGCACAGTCATGCGCGAACAGAAAAGGACGCTCCACAAACAGTTACCAGAAGGTTGGAAGTGCACGGTTGTCTAAAATGTCTTTGTATATTGTAGAATAAACATTACCTTTCACCGGAAACTAGGGATGTACCGAGACCAAGTACAAGTGCTCCTCCATACCAATTGCCGATAATTATTTTTAAGCCACGTGAGTTTTTCTAAAACAATACAGACTATTTTAGGACAGTGGTGAAGTGCCAGGGCCCAGTCCCAGCTGCATGCCCCTGGTAGTTCTCTCACTGACTCCAAGCTGTAGCGGGACTACAAATCCCAGCAATACATTATACAGCAATGCAGAATAATACCATCAGCTAGAGAAGACTACAAATCCCAGCAATACATTATACAGCAATGCAGAATACCACCAGCTATAGAGGACTACAAATCCCAACAATACATTATACAGCAATGCAGAATAATACCATCAGCTAGAGAAGACTACAAATATCAGCAATGCATTATACAGCAATGCAGAATGTCACCGGCTATAGAGGACTACAAATCCCAGTGATACATTATACAGCAAATTCAGAATAATATGAAGCTACATACTCTGTGCTGTTCCGGCCTTATGTCTCCAGTGGAGGATCTCAGGATGGCTGTGTGGGGTCTCGGTTGGTCTTGCGGGCAGTGTGGTTTCAGGAAGATACGACCAGCGCTGTGAACAGCGCTGTGAACCACGCGGCGTGGTTCACAGGAAGGCTGCATTGCAGGGGGATCTTCGCAGCTTTCCTGTGAACAGCGGTGCCTGTATACAGCTCCGGCTTCAGATTAAAAATGTAAAGAGCCACTATCGGGGCATTTTCACAAGTACTCGTGAACAAATGCACAGTAATGGTGCATCCCTACTGGAAACACATGAACTGAAGGGGTGTCTACATACATTTGGTCATACAGGTGTGATGTTCAAGTGTCTGATCAGAACACAAAATTTAGGCCATATAGAGTGTAAAAGTCACTGGCAGATCTGCTCAATACTTAGGGGCTAAATTCACACCAAATGCATTGGGATTGCACTGACCATTTTGGACAGCGCAGCGCCAACGCAAGACCAGGCAATATGCCTCGTCACACATGGGAACAGTTCACTCGTGACATTTCAATCAAGTTCTAACAAAACAAAAAAAAGGTAAAACAGTGCAATGCGCCAGTACTATGGTCGCCTCATTTGGTTTTACCGGATTGTACAGACCTCTACTCCAATTTTATTTTATAAATTACCTTTCAGATTGGGGTCCAGCACTCCAACATACAGCCCAAGACCCTGTACCTTCAAAAACAATTTGGCAACGGCAGTTTCTATACGGAAAGGTCTTTAAAATATTGTTTATGACAAACCTTAGCAATTTTTTTTTTCAGGAAAAGAAAGACACTGCAGACAGCAGAAATGTGGTTTTACATTTATTAAAGGCCAACACAGACAGTTTAAATACAGGATCCTGGAAGAAGTGGTGACGGCAGCTGTGGTGGCACAACATGCAGGTGCGCCAAGAAGACGCCCAGCACAACTACCTGTGGAGAGAGAACAGTCAGCAGAGAAACACAGCATGGAGCAGATAACTTTTCCAATAAAAAAAAAAAACACCCCTTGTTCTATCTTATATTAGTCCTGCTGTAAACTCATGCAGATGTTGCATATAAGAACAGAAGGTTACAGAGCACCCATGAGAATCCAATCATACAGTATGACCAACAAAAACACAATGTAAAAGCAAGCAGTTCCCATTACCCGATAGCCAGACAGATCTGTCGATTCATTCATTAAAGCCTTCATATCCACCCTGCTCCTACCACTAATATACAGTACTGTGGAAACATTTTAGGCAGGTGTGAAGAAATGCTGTGAAGGATATAGATATAGATATAGATATAGAGATATATAGATATATAGATATAGATATATATATATCTATCTATATATACAAAATGCAAAGTGAGTAAAAAGAAAAATCTAAATCAAAATCTATACTTTGGTGTAACTACCCTTTGGCTTCAAACCAGCATAAATTCTTAAGGTGCCCACACACCTTATGATTATCATACGATAATCACGCGAAATCCCGCGATCGTACAATAATCGCAAGGTATGTGGAAGGCGTGCGACTGTTTCTACTGTGCGGTCGCACGACTTTTGTCTTACGAACGTTTGAAAACCAGCCGAGAATCGTACGATTTTCGGCTGGTTTGTGGCATGCTCTTAAGATAATTGCCGCACGGGCCGTTTTGCGCAAGCGCACACTGCCCGTTCAGCATTGCGGTCATCGGAAGCCCGCCCCTCAGCAGGGTGGGCTTGCGATTATCGCAAGTACGATCTGCCTGTCCAAGATGGGCAGATCATACGTTTTTTTTTTAAATCCAGCAACATCCAGCAGTGCCGAACTAGCGGAAACCAGTGAGCTGAAGGTACGCCCTTCTACTGTCCGGAGACATCTGGCCAGAAGTGGTCTTCATGGATGAATTGCGCAAAAAAGCAATACCTTGAACGTGGAAACAAGGCTAAGCGACTCAACTATGCACGAAAATAGAGAAACTGGGGTGCAGAAAAATGGCAGCAGGTGCTCTGAACTGATGAGTCAAAATTAGAAATATTTGGCTGTAGCAGGAGGCAGTTTGTTCACTGAAGGGCTGGAGAGCAGGCAGCAGTGTAGCATGGTGGAGGTTCCTTGCAAGTCTCTGGGCTGCATTTCTGTCAATGGAGTTGTAGATTTGGTCAGGATCAATGGTGTCCTCAATGCCGAGAAATACAAGCAGATACTTATCCATCATGCCATACCATCAGGGAGGCGATTAGCCCCAAATTTATTGGCGGACAACCACCCCAAGCATACAGCCAATGTCATTAAAAACTATCTTCAGCGTAAAGAACAAGGAGTCAGTCCTGATTTCAACATGGAGTCCGTCTGGGATTACATGAAGAGACAGAAGGATTTGGAGGCAGCCGACATCCACAGATACAGGTGAAACTCGAATAATTAGAATATCGTGCAAAAGTAATTGCAGTAAGTGCTGCAAAAGGGGCCCAAACCAAGTACTGAGTACATATGCATGCTTGTACTTTTCAGAGGTCCGATATTGTTCTATGTACAATCCTTGTTTTATTGATTGCATGTAATATTATACTTTTTTGAGGTTGTGGATTTGGGGTTTTCATGAGCTGTAAGCCATAATCATCACAATTATGACAAATCACGGCTTGAACTATCTTGCTTTGCATGTAATGAGTCTCTCTCATATATTAGTTTCACCTTTTAAGTTGCATTAGTGAAATAAATTAACTTTGCACGATATTCTAATTATTCGAGTTTCACCTGTAGATCTGTGCTTAGTTCTCCAAGATGTTTGGAACAACCTGTCGAGTTCCTTCAAAAACTGTGTGCAAGTGTACCTAGAAGGCGCAACGGGTGGTCACCCCAAATACGGATTTGATTTGGATTTCCCTTCTGTTAGTTTACTTTCCATTTTGGTAAATGATAAAAATTAACTGTTAACACTTATTTCTGAAATAATTATTACTTTACAGCATTACAGCCCACCTGCCTAAAGCTTCTGCACAGTACTGTACATAGCAAATGATTTGCTGAGCTGACTCAAGCTGCTTTTGCACTGACTTGTATGGGACAAGAAGCAGTTTGAGGGGAACAAATGCCCATCGATACAGGTCCCTAGACAGTCTTGGACAGGGACTGATGTTATTAGTTGCTATGTGCAACATAATCGTGGTTACTGGAGAAAACATTATCCCTGTCGATGGATATAGTCCAATGTATAGAATGGCACGGAGTGTCCCTTCTAACGTGCCAAGAGCAGTGTGGGCATGAATGGGCCATATAATAGGAAAATAGGACAGCACATGTTGCTTTAAAGAACATATCTAGGGTTAAAGAACAAACGGCAGCACACAGAAGTCCTTAAGACAGGCAAATGCCCGCCTGTGGACATCAGACAACTACTTATAAAAGTGCTCATACACATCAACAGTAGGATGTTCTTTTATTTACATGGACAGATTAAATAAAGATGGAGTGTTTTAGCAAGCGGGCTTGGCGAATCCGAATTCTCTTAACTGCAAATAGAAGTCAAGTCTAGTTACATAGTATTTAAGGTTGAATAAAGATATTAGTCCATCAAGTCCAACCTATTAGGATCTCATTCTTAGGAGTACCTGTACCCCTGTCTATTACGGTCCCTTAGAAAATCGTCCAAAAGTTTCTTGAACAATTTCACATTATTTGCTGAAATCACTGGTTGTGGGAGCGAGTTCCAGACCCTAACCGCTCTAACTGAGAAGAACCCCCTTCGCCCCTTGTGCTGGAATTTTTTTCCACCAATTTTAGGTGATGGCCTATAGTCTTTGTAATGGAGTTAATTTTAAATAGTTTGTCGCTAATGTTGCTGCCACCATTGAACATCTTGTACATGGAGATCATATCCCCCCTTAATCTCCTCACCTCCACTGTGAACATGTTTAAATTTAGTAGTTGTGTCTCATAGCTCTGGTCCTCCATTCCCCTAATTAGTTTGGTTGCCCTCCGCTGGACTCTTTCCAGCTCAAGGACATCTTTTCTTAGTACTGGTGACCAAAACTGGTCTAGTCTTTTAGTGCCCACATCAATGGGTATATGCAGCTTGCTTCTACAGATCTTTTGAGATCGTTCACATTTCATCTGAAGCCGACTTCCATTGGACCTGCATTTCACCTCCTCCTAAGCTACATCAATGTGCATCAACCTGGCTGAAGCTGCTTTTGCATTTCCATTGACTTGTATGGGGCAAGAAGCAGTTCCGGGGGAAACATGGGCCTGTCAATACAGACCTTTAGAACTAGGAATGCACAGATACCGATACTAGTATCGGCACCGACGCTTAGTATTTAGTACTCGTACTCGCCCAAATGCTTCGATGCCTAGCCCAATACTTCCGCTATCAGGAAGCCGGCTTCATGCTCCCTCGTCACCTCATGACGAGGGAGCATGGAGCCGGCTTCCCAGCAAATCAGGAAGCTGGGCGCCGCGTCATTAATTGATTGGCCAGAAAATCGGCTCCATGCTTTGTCACCTACTGACGAGAAGCATGGGGACGGCTTCCCTGCTAAATCGGGAAACCGGGTGGCGAGTCTTTACACGCTGCCCAGCTAATCAGGAAGCCAGGTGGCGAGTCACTTCCAGTACTCGGTATCGGCTAGTACCGAAAAAAATCCCTATTTAGAACCATTAACCACAGTCCCTGTCTAAGACAGTCTATGTACTTCATAAAGCACCTGTGCATGAAAATAGAACACATAACAGATAACATGATATGATCCAGATCTTTTGCTCATACTTACAATAAACAAAGAACTTGGTACATATACTTCATTCGTATACATCGTGCTTATCTGCAACGTAATCTACTATCTCTTGGGGCGTCATCAACTTCTCACCATCGGCATCTGGGATCTCAAAACCTAGGAGGAAAGACCAGAGTTCAGTGTGATCAAGAACAATGAGGGCCTACTGAATTAGGGCAGCAAAAGTGCATCTCCAGCAGCTATGGCAGAACATAAAGTCTCATCCCCTACTGCCAGGCCATGGGGGAACTCACTGTTCTACCACTGCTGGGGGCACAAAGCTTCCCTGACTCTGATTTAGGGAGGAAAGCAATGGCAGCTTCAGATAGTTTAAACAAGTAATGTCTCAAGCTGTTATTGAACGGCTTCCAGTGCGTCTTACCCAGCCAGCAACTCCCAGAACACCCGCAGCGGCCAGCGGAGCATGCGGCTTCTTGTCATTCAGCGACGGGCTTTCCTTCTCTTCAGTTCAAGCATGTCTAATGTCTTCCTAAAGTTTTTTTTGATGCAAATGGAATGCGACTACCATAAAAGTGAACTCCAGGTGAAAGCAAATATTTTCAGTGATCAGCAATGGCCGCCTCTGTTACCCCCACAGCAGCTCTTTTGGAGCCATACTCTCACTGTACCCCTCCCAACCTATATATTGGAGCAGAGCTATACTCGCTGTACCCCTCCCAACCTATATATTGGAGCAGAGCTATACTCGCTGTACCCCTCCCAACCTATATATTGGAGCAGAGCTATACTCACTGTACCCCTCACAATATACCTGTGACCTCTACCATGAGAGGGTAGGGCAGCACGAGGAGCTGCTGAATGAACATGTGCTGTCAGGGAACATGGTGACAGGGTGATAGAGCAGAGATCATGACTTATCAATGTGTTGCTGATGCTGCTCCTCTTTTGTAGAAACTATGCTGTGGAGGAGAACAATGTCTGCTGCTCACGCATCTGCTTACCTCCACTAAAAACAGACAGCTGGAACAAATACTATGGGTGAGATTTATTCAGGAACTCTAACCAAATTTGAAAAGCTAATATTTGCTCTTCATCCCCCCCGCATAATTAATACGCTGCCATTTCCTGCCTTAACCTGCATTCCCTGTGCCTGCACGTGTGTTTACTGATGCTTGCGCACAAGCCAGTTGCCTAGCAACCCGAGAGTGGCTAGCGAAAATCACCCGCGTACAGAAAAAGCTCGCTACCTCTGCCGAGACTGTCCTACTGACACAGATAATTAAAAATAATCATTGCCGACAGCAATGTCATGGAAAAGTTCAGATTGAAGCGGTTTTATTAAAAAGATTTTTTATTCGATTGGATTAGAGAATCGAGGTCCAAGATGGAACCAAGCCCAAAATCCAGAATAATGACCTGAACCCAGTAAGGTGGAAATGCAGATGCTGGGAGATGGGCAAAGCCCTATGGCTTGAATAAAATGATTTGACTTCAAAAACGTAAAGGTTATTGTTCGCATTTTATTAGACCTGGTCACAAATGCCACAACACTGTCTAAAATGCAGATTGCAGGCTTTCATTACACCCCCCCCCCCCGCCCCGGCCTTTGGAGAAAAAATAGATGGTAGACGAC